AAAAAAAAAAAATCAAAAATCAAATTGGCAACAAGGCAAAGAAGTTTTAAAGCACAGTAATAGACGGGCACACGTGCATGTTGACACAAATATGACAGAGAGTCAGCATTTGACCTTAGTAGGTTCATTCTCTTCGGGCAATACATAAGCAGTTCCAATGCAGTAGTACGCATTGTTGTCGTTTGAGAACGAGCAGCTAAGGATGGAACAACATTTCTCAAACTGATCCAGTCCATAAATCGAAATGAAATCAAAAGTTCGGTCGTCCAGCAGGCGAACGAAGTGCATTTCAGCATCTTCCACACTATATTGCATGTACTTTACACTACATATGGCAAATGTCTTAGTCGTTTCCTGGTGACATATGCGCCTTGCATGCTCCCCAAGTGGAATAGAATGTGAGTGCAGCTTCTCAACATCATCAATGGTGCCGATTACTAGATTGTCTTGTTTTGCGATTGCAAGGCTATCAACAAACAACAACAACAACAACAACAACATAGTCTTTTTTAGTCCCAAGCAAGTTGGGGTAGGCTAGAGATGAAACATATAGAATGTATCACTAATATTAGAACGACACATGTTAAGCACATTACAATTACAATAATTGAAAGATACTTTACCAGAAGGGAAAAGTGCGCGAATGGAAAGAGCACATATAACTGACGCCTGTTAAGTTTATATTTCTGTACTGCAATTTCTTGTCGATGCCGACAATTGCAGTAGGTATATCGGAGGCAACAAAAACGTACTTGGCATTCTTTGATGAGAAAGTACCAAGTGTACACAGTTGCATCCCAAGAGGCACTTTTTTCAACTCTTCCAGCTGGCCATTTCTTGTATTCAAGACAAAACTTAAAAGATGTCCATCCCCAAGAGCACATAGAAGGTAAGATGTCTGAAATAAAGAAGATACGGGAAATCATATTAGCCTCCACATAGTATTGCCAATAGCATGATCTCAAAATAACTCAGGAAAGTCGTGAAAATAAGCCTGTCCATTTTTTCATTTTCACATACTCAGTTTCATATGTCTTTATCATAATCATATTCGGTTATTATATCAATAAAAAGTGAACCTATACAGATAATATTAACTGCGCAAAATGAAAATTTTCAAAGAGCTGATAATCAAAAGGAACACTTGATCAATAGAGAAAAGTCCTCCCAGGATCACCTTCCTTTAAATATTGCAACTAGCATAAAACCATGGTTCTAACACCCCGAAAAAATAAATAAATAAAGAATAAAAGGAATGGGAAACCAAAGATCGCCTATATTATGGGTAGATCACCTCAGAGCATTCTTTCTAATCAAAGTTCTATTCAAACTCATAATGACCTAAACTCCACCAGGTTCATAGATCCACAATCATCACTCTCTCAATGAGAAGTGTATCAAGTAGTCAAAAAGTCCAAGACTGCCAATTTATTTTGGATTATGGCCCAAGCATCTATATACAAACATAGCACACATGAAAAAAAATCAGTGAGCAATTATATATGATATTTTTTAAAAATAATTAAAAATGACACTAACCCCTTCAAAAGAACACAGAAGGACAGAACGAGGTACAATCCCTCCTTCCAAATGCTCTCTCAACATAAGTTTTAACTCTGGAAGTGAATATATCATGACACTAATATCTCCCCAAATTCCCACTACTGCAAGCTGACTGCGATTCGGATCATCACCAATTGGATTAATGTCCAGGCATGAGATATCATTCTCCAACTGGATGCGACTACATTCGGTTAACACACCATCACCAATCTCTAGATAGACCAAATGGCCACCACCAGTACTCAGTAAAACCTGCAGAGCAAATTGTCTTACACACAAATGAGCTAGAAGACTCATAACAGTGAGCCAATCAATATCACATTAGCCATGTTGAGCTAACATCACAAACTAAAAGAACACATTATTACAACTGTTAATTTTTCAAAGGATAAGCTGACGAAGACAGGCAAAAGGAACAGTGTTAACAAGTGGCAGCACCATGGCGGTACGGTGTGGCGGATTTCTGCCAAACCGCCATACTAAATTCTGAAGGATGGCGGTTATGGCACAGGCCGCGTTGGGAAGGTTTTGGCCTGCCGCCATTTTCTTCCATTGATAACACCAGATAAAAA